GTTGAACTCTAATAACTGACTGAAACAATCATAATAATAATCAGTAACGGTGCCTCTTTCTTACTTTCTTGATATTAGCTCACTCATTCATCTTAACTTTAATAAGATAATCAGAACATGAGACTCCAGCCCACAGAATAGAAGTTAGGGCAATAATGTTTATCTGACTCAGTGAGCTTCACAGCTCCATTTGCTTATCTTACACTAAATAGTTAAGCTCAATTAAGAACAGTATATTCCTGAGCTGGGCGTGGGGGCACACTATTGTAACCCCAGCATTTGGGAGGCTGACAGGCAGGCGGATCCTTGCAGATTCGAGACCAGCCTGGCCTCCAATATGAGCCAAGGACAGCCTGAATCACATAGTGAGACTTTGTCTGAGAAACACACATATACACAAAAAATTATATTTTTCATAATTCTTCTTTTTCTCATATTACTTCTTATATATGTATTCATTGCATAGTATTTAAAATTTGTGCATTAAACCATTTTGAAATCATTTAATGAAATGAGGAAATCATTTAATAAAGGAAATCATTGAAATTATATATATATATGATGTGATATAAAATACGTAAATATTTAAATTTGAAAAAAAAATACAATAAAGGACACATTATCATCAGTTTCCCTTACAGTATTTCCCCTTGCTCTGAACATACTCATCCTACTGTTCTTTCCTCTTTCTGAAGCAGTTCTGGAAGTCCTCTTTCATGAGTATGTTAACTTGCACTGTCGTGGCTTCTTTGACGTCCACTTCACAATGTTTACCTCTCAGGGTTATTTTGACTTTGGGAAGAGTTAGAAGTCACAGTGTGATCTGGGTATGGTGATGCATGCCTGTAATCACTGCACTCAGAAGGCTGAAACACAAGGGTCACCATGAGTTTGAGGCCATGCTACATTACGTAGCTAGCTCTGGTCTCAAAAAAAAAAGTATAAGTGAAGATAAATCACAATATATACAAGAGGCTGCCTTCTGTTAGATGGTTCTTGGTAGCAGGCTTCACTAATTCTTGGTCACACCTTGTAAAGACAAAGTAATGGAGAATATTATGAGGACAATCTATGGCAATACGTTTTTTTTTTTTTTAAATTGGGATAATGTTTTAAAAAATATAAACATTCTGCCCATTTGTTAACTACACCTTTTATATACTTGAAACATATTTTCAATTTCAAGATAAATCCAATAGGACTCTGTGTTATTGAACTTTCTATTGCTGTGACAAAATATTTGTGATAAAGTGTTTAAGAGAAGAGAGGTTTATTTTGGCTCATGGTTTCAGAAATTTCTGTCCATGGTCTGCTGACTGCAATGCTTTTAAGGAGATAATGATATAGAAACACCGTGGTGTAAGGAAGGATTGAAAAAAGGAATCTACTTATTTCATGATTGCCAGGAAGCAGAGAGAGAGAGAGAGACAGGAGAGAGAGAGAGAGAGAGAGAGAGAGAGAGAGAGAGAAAGAGAGACAGAGACAGAGAGACAGAGAGAGAGACAGAGAGAGAGACAGAGAGAGAAAGAGAGAGACAGAGAGAGAGACAGAGAGAGACAGAGAGACAGAGAGAGAGACAGAGAGAGACAGAGAGAGACAGAGAGACAGAGAGAGAGACAGAGAGAGACAGAGAGAGACAGAGAGAGACAGAGAGAGAGACAGAGAGAGACAGAGAGAGAGACAGAGAGATACAGAGAGAGATAGAGAGACAGAGAGACAGAGAGACAGAGAGAGACAGAGAGACAGAGAGACAGAGAAAAGATCCAAGAATGAGTATAGTTCATACTGTCATGCTCTCCTCATCCAAGTTCTTGTAACCACGTCACATCACCTGAGATTTTGATGCCTCCTATTAATTCCATCAACTTCTGACCTCATTAAGGGATTAATCCACAGAAGAAGTTAGAGTACTCATGGACCCGTCTCTTCCTGAAAACCCCACTTTTGTACTCTATGAATTTTGGAGGGCATTTTGATCTAAATCATAGCAAATTTCTATTGTTGCTTTATTGAAGTAATTTGGAGAAAGTTGCATTATAATATTCATTTCATTATAATATTTATTTCATTCATAGCTGTTTCATTAATCATTGTTTTGTAACAGACACTTTACCGGATATGCCATCATTTCTAGTCAGAAGCCTTTTGTACATTTACACATTATCTATGTTAACTTTTTATTTTACTTTACTGTCAGAGATAGAAGTACAAAAATGGTGAAAGGAGCACAGACCTTTGACTTACATTTAGTTAGCTCCAGTAGATGAGATTGTACTTGCATATCCTGCCATAACTATTAGGTGACGTTCTGTTAGTTGGAGAATATGGTGTAAAGCAAATCACCCAAAAACACTGAAGCATATAGCAAAGTGTAATTACTTGTCAAATCTTGGAAGAGGATGAATCAATTTATTTGAGACATCAAGACATTCGACACCTTCACCAATATGGCAGCCCCAAGAATTTCTGTAAAGTTTTCATTGCACCCTCTGCACAGCAAGTGTTTTCATTAGACAGTCAAGATAATCACAATTTTTCCTGCTCAGTATAGCTACTTAGCTACTTGACCTGCTGCCATCAATATCATGTGGAATGAGGAGAAGTTCCATGGCAAGTTTATGTGATGTATTTTGTTCAACCTGCTTTGATGGAAGGAGCAGGAGAGTTAACATAGCCTAAGATCAAGCTAAGGACCTGAGGAACTGTTCATTCCAGATGACTGAGAACTGCACCAGAGGACAGGGACAGATTGTGTCTCCACTCTGCTGCTGATCCCTGCCTCTGATCCTGCAAGGGGCCAGCTCGTCAGAAACTCAGGTGTGCTCAGCAGTGATCAGCAGGGGAAGACAGAAAACATTGAGAACAGAGACCTATAAATTCTGTTTCAATCAATACCATGTCCATATGATCTGCATTTGCCTTTCCTCTTACATTGGAAGTACATTTGCTTTTGGGATCTTATAAGAGACTTTTCTGGGATGCAGGCTGAGCAAAATAGATATGGCAAAGACAAGATGATGTCTTTATCACGGCTCTTATGTTTCTAATATTGTAGATACCAGGTGAGGCTACTTGGATGATGCTCAAAGTGACAGTATTACTTAAATCTATAACTTCCTTCCTTCCTTTCTTCCTTCCTTCCTTCCTTCCTTCCTTCATTCCTTCCTTCCTTCCTTCCTTCCTTCCTTCCTTCCTTCCTTCCTCCTTCTTCATAAAAGCTCTATAAAAATATATCCTCTTTTCTTTTAGACTACAGTTGTAGTGACTTTCACATGCACATGGTCATGTTCTGCTGATGCATGGTTTCAGCCTCCAGAAGCGAGACTGTGCTGACTCAGTCTTCAGCAGTGCTGTCTATGATGCAATGGAAGACAGCCACTATCACCTGGTGGCCAGTCAGAACACTGCCTCCAATTCACATTGGTACCAGCAAACACCAAATCAGGCTCCAAAGATCCTCATTAAGTGAGCCCTCCTGTCCATGTCTGGGATTCATATGAGGTTCAGTGGCAATAGATCTGGCACAGATTTGACCCTTACCATCATCAGCCTGTGATCTGATGATGTCACAAGTTATTACTGTCACCAGGAATGGAGAGTTCTTCACACTACACCACAAACCAGAACAAAAACTAGTTCAGCCTGGATGAGCAGGGAGACTGGGTGCTACCATGGTCTTCTGATTTTTGCAGGTGCAAATTGGTCACGGACTTCACAAACACCATGATCAGCCCAGCAGAACTGAAATTTCAGATCCGTTGTTTCACGTATTAGTTGCAACTTCATTTACAGGAATTTTTCTAAATAAAAGAAAAGCTGTTGAGGATGGATCCCTTTGTAACCATCTAAGGATTTCCTACTTTGTCCTTTACAAGTTGGTCAAATTTTGAAGTCTTCCTTGGGGGCCTCCAATCAGTCAGTAAGATTCAATAGTCTTAAAGGTAGAATACTGTGAAATTACCAAGCAATTGCCAGGAGTTGAGGGGAAAGAAAAGACCCCTGGACAAGTACCCCTCAACCTTGAAACATTTCCAAGCTTGGCAACCAGCAAGGGTATTCTAGGTTCCCCACTCTTTCCCAAAACTAACTTTTTGTCATTTCTTGTAGTCACATACCTGGACCTTAAGTACCCTGTGATCATTATCTTTTCTGAATTCCAGGAGAATTATTAATTGTTTGTCTTTAATAGTCGCATGATTTATTTATTAAGAAGACGAATCATGTAAGTTTTTTAGACACTTGTCTGGTAGTGGGCAGAATAAGATCAAGTTCCTGTATTCGGGATTGGGAGGGGTGATTAAGTGAATAAATTAGGGCCCCAATCCAAAAGGTTGCTGTTACAAAGCTTTCATTAAATGGCAAAGAAACCCTAAAATACACAAAGTCAGAGTCCTCATCCTAGAGACTAAATGAATGAATGTTTTACTGTTGAAATGAAAATTTCCCATTAAAGGAGGGAGCTCTCTGTCCAGCTCTTTAAGCTTATGTGGCTGGATCCTCAAGTGGCAATGGGTCATGTCTCCCCCATCTGCCAGTTCCTCAGGATTTCCTGCTTTACTTTGTGATGTGAAGTGCACTTGGCTATGATGCCCCTTCCAGGAGGATTCTTAGAGTATGAACTTGGTGAGCAATGAGACAGGAGAGGTGAGAGAAGCAGGTACACAGCTCTGAATGTGGGTGGCCATAAGTCAAACAGGAATGAAGAATCCTTGTGCATTCAGAGAGGGAGAGGACAGAACTTTTTAATCCCAGCTCTGTTCAAAGGTGCAAAAGGTGTTGTGATCTGATAATAGAACATGGTTCACTCTAGTCATGGGAGAACAGCTGGATTTTGCTCTGTGGCCCAAGGGAGAAACACATTCTCAGGGAAATTGGTGCAATCCTGGCCTGAAAGTAATGCCAGAAAACCATCGACCACTGATGAGACGACACAGCCTTGCAGCTGTGTGCAACCCTGCTCAGCCCATGCTGATTTGCATGCACACAGAGCACAGCACATGCCCAAAAGTATTTCTTCCCAAGGTTCTCATACCCTGTGCAGGAGTCAGTTCTGGTCCAGACATAGCATGGACATGAGGATCTCCACTCAGCTCCTGAGCCTCCTGCTGCTCTGGCTCCAAGGTGAGAAAAAAATTATTTTGTAATTTAGTCTAGTTAGAGTTCCCTGGTCACAGTTGCCTGATTCTACAGGGAGGTCTTGTTTTACCATGGTTGTGTTGATACTTGTTGGTTCTGATTTCAGGTGTCAGATGTGACATCCAGATGACTCAGACTCCATCCTCCTTGCCTGCATCTGTGGGAGACACAGTCACCATCAAGTGTAAGGCCAGTCAGGGTATAATCAATGCTTTAAATTGGTACCAGCAGAAACCAGGGAAAGCTCCTCAACTGCTGATCTATGCTGCAACCGGTTTGGGATCTGGGGTCCCTTCGAGGTTCAGTGGCAGTGGATTTGGGACAGATTTCACTCTTGCCATCAGTAGCCTACAGCCTGAAGATGTTGCTACCTATTACTGTCAACATGGTTATGGTACCCCTCCCACAGTGATACAAGCCATGACAAAAACAGCCAGTGAAGCAGAAGTGTGAGGTTGGGCTGCCCCAGCTCAGCTCCACTGCAGCTGTACTCAACTGCTGAGAGCATTTCTCTGAACAAGCCAGGCTTGAATGCTCCTTTGAAGCTTTAGAAGAAGGACAAGACTGTGCTCTACACCCTTATTCTCTTTCCTTTTTTTAGCTACTAAAGCACAGACAATCCAGCTCCTGTCCTAATTAAGTGAAGGCTACAAATGAGCAACTCTGAGCAGTGCGGGTTGTGGCATAATTTTGGATTCAGACAGCAACATAGAAGCCCTTCTGTGTTCTAAGCACGGATTTTTAAAGACTTCCTTCAATTTTTAGTGTAGATTTGTTCATGGAAGTTTAAAATACAGAGGTGGCCCTGACTACCCAGTACACATGGCTCTGCAGTCTATCATCAACAACCAAGGACAATTTTGTTACAAACCATTAAGATCCATAAGTGTGCAAAGTCTGTAGTTTGCGTGAAGGTTCACTATTGCTGCTATACATTTCAAAAGGGGAAACAAATGTGCAATAACACACACGCAGCGTTTGCTACTGGGCAATTTTGTTTCACTGCCATAAAAATTCTCCACCCTAAAAATTATCCCTATTCATTCTCCACCAATTCCTGCCAGTCATTTGTCTTTTATCATCACATTGTTTATCATTTTCCAAATGACAAAATCTTTCCTTTGTAACTTAGAAGTTTTTGAAAGACAATCTCAGAATATACTGTCCTAAGAAATACAATAACTAAAAATATTGAGTAACACCTCTTTGTACTTACAAGGTTCTCTTTATCCCTTCTGTGTCCTCTGTTCAAGACATGGAGGCCTTGCTGTGCACCCCTTGCTGGTGCTCTAATTCTTGTACGAAGTCCCTGCCTGTCACAAGTTCTCAGCGGGATGTGGGTACTGTCTCTGGACAAATATCAGTCTGAATCAGGTGCAGCAGTGAGCTGCAGACCTGGAGCTATGGCCCTCTGAGTCCTGGTGCTCTGGGCCCAGGCGAAACAGCAGTGTTTGGAGAGGCCTCCATGACAGGGGCTATAGCACCCAGGAGACCGTGTTCACTGTGCCCCACGTGCACTGTCCACTTGAGCAGCCAGTATCACTCTTCCTGGGAAGACTCCGTTGTTGGGACATCATTCACTGAGGGGCTCACCTGTGTCTTGTTCTGGCCTTTAAACTCCCATGAGAGCATTGCGGGCTCTAGGGCCCAGCTTCCCTTTAAGTGTCTCTTAAGAGAAATGGTCTCCACCACTTTCCTTGCAGCAGCAGAATCCAGGCAAGTTTCCAAAGACTCAGCAACGTGCTGTGTATGCTTTGGCTTGAATCTGTCTATAATTGTGATTCAAACACAGGATAAATGCTCCAAGTACTTTATAGATAAAACTTAGTTAAAATGAGAAGCATAATTCCTCAATTAAACTAGACATAGATCCAGGGCTGAATAGAAATACGTTGCTCGTGGCTAGACTATTGATCAATAGGGGTGGATACACTTAAATCATTTTAGAAAATTATTTTGATATTCACTGTTCACATTTCCTTTGTCACTCATATTGCTATAGACAGAGACATAACTTCCCTATCCTGCATCCCGTAAGCCTGATGACATCGTTGTTTCCTTGGCTCTGTAGTTTTTGCTTCATTTTCCCCTTGTACTGAATTAATTTTTATTTCACGACGAGCCCTGCCGAAATAAATCTCAGGACCCAATCCTTTTCTATAAGAGTGCTATGGTTTTCTAACTCCATTCTTTCTTTGAATATAACTGAGGATCGTGTGGGGTGAGGATTATGTGATGACCTTTATTCAAATCCATAATTGGGCATTTGGCTGACTGTGACCAGAGAAAGTGAGTAGGAAAAGAGGAAGCAGAAGGGAGGAAAATAACACTATCCCAGTTGTCAGTGTCCTTGGATTGAGGAGGAAGTAGATTAACATTTTCACCTTAGCACTGTTAGCTTCTGTGTCAAATGTAAATTTGTGAGGTTTTTCCTGTGCTGTAACACAGTAAAACAATGTATTTGTGTTTATCACCTTAGGGAATAATCTGAGAATACCTAATATATATGGAAATATTGCACAGTTAGTTCCTTTTGTTGACAGTCTTTTAGGGGAACTATATGTTACCTCAGGCATGAAGATGTACTTGGAGGAATAAAACACGTAAGACTTAAAAATTTAAGAAAAAATTAAAAAATACCTGTCACTATAGATAGTTGAATGTAATTATAAATAAACCAAATTATACAGGTGTTAATTGCTAATTATCCAAAGGATAAAAACTCATGATATAAAAATTCTAGGAAGTAAAGTTACACCTGAATAAAATTAAGGTTTTTTTTTATATCTTGAAATTAACCTTCAGTGTGTGGAGCAAAGTGTTTGCTATTATGAATGGCTGCTCTCTTGTGAGCTCTCAAAAGAGGACGTGATAATACATGTGTCTGAATAAATCTAGCGAGTCACCTCTCTTTAGTACTCTAACTATATTATAAAAGTAGTTTACAATGTCATCCTTTAGAGGTGGGTGGGAAGAGGTTACCTGACAACATTTCTCTGTTTAACCCATAATCCCAGCATTGTCTGTGAATTACAGGTTAATGGTGATTATAAAGAAGATACAGGAGAAGAGAGGGAAATAGGATTCTAACAAAGAGTTTTCCTGCAGTGAGGAAATGAGGAAGTGTGAGGTTACTTTGTCTTCTCTGCATTAACTACTCTATTAAATACTTATTTCAGCAATTAACTCAGGAGGTGTTTCCTGGTCTATGACTCAGAAATTTTCTTCCTTACACCAATGTATTTATAATCATGCTTATTACTTTAGAGGTCCTCAGAATAACTAGTAAATATTAAACAAATGCACTTCTAGTTTATATTGTGTATGAAGGAAAATACTCTTTACTTCAGTGACAAAGATCTAACTAAATGCAACAATGTAAATAGTAACTGTCTATCTATGTAAAACTGTAAAAACTTGTAGCATTACACATAAAAGTATAATTGCCACTGAAACATAAAATATCCTGGTGAACAAACCAAATAATATCAATCTATGTATCTGATTAAACAAACTATATAGCCTTAATGAACCAACATTAAAAAATGTCAAAAATAAGAGACAAACCGGAATACAAGGTCACCATATTTATTTTGAACACAAATGTCTGTATCAATGTATTTGCTATTCTGAAAATCATCTATTGTGATCTTTATATATTATCACCGCTTGTTTAGTTGGACAACATAGATGCTCTTAGAACATTTCTGGAATGAGTGAATATTCGTGATATTGGGAACACCACCTGCAGTAGCAGAGTCACCAATGTTCCAGCAATGAAGCTCAAATAAATCTAGAACTGCTGTGTCCATATTATATTCCTCGCATTTAAGTTTATTGTTTTCAATGAAAAGTGAGAGCAATGGTTTCCTGAGAGATATTACACTGTGTGATACATGAATCTGGAGATGCGGGGTGGGCCCACAATCTCCCTGGAGCCCAGCCTGTTTGGGACTTTTGCACCTCGCCATCATTGTGCAGGGGAGGGGGTGCGCGGATCTGGGGCGCCTGCATCAGCCTCCCCGTGTGTCTGGAAAACTGTGGATGTCTCAGCGGGCAGTGGATCATCGCAGGTTTCAGAGGCCCTGCAGCCTGTGGTGAGTGCTCAGCGCACTCTGCCCAAAGCCCAGACTATTCAGGTCCCTCCAGGCTTCCGGGATCAGTAAAGTGGAGAGATGGCTTTGAGGTGTCTACATCTGCCTGCACATCCCACCTGCGATTGGAGAGCTGTGGAGCTTCCAACAGGCAGGTGGGTGCACAGTGTCCCTGAGGCCCAGCTTATCTGGAAATGCAGAGTTCTGAACAGGAAGAGGAGGGCCATTGGTTCTCCAGGCCCAGTGGCTTAGGGTAACAGGGTGCTAGAGTCTCAGGAGCTGCAAACATAGAAGGGGATTTCCAACAGATCCTGAGGAAGCTTTCAAATAACACTTGAAACACAGAAATTTAGGAAAATGACAAAATGAAAGACCAAATTACAACCTCAAACCGCCAGCCCAGCTCAAGAAATCCTAGGAGCAATGTATATAGAAGAAAATATATGCCATTCACCTCAAATATCGGACACAATAGCCACTTAAATTCAGAAGCAACTCCCGGAAGCTTTAAAGAAATTCAAACTCGAAATAATCTCCCAGATAAAAGAAGAAATGATAAAAGAAATGAAAGAGATTCTAAATATATCTAAAGAAAACACAGATAAAAAATTGGAGGAACTAAACAAAAAGATAGAATCCCTAGACGAGCAATATAAGAAACAAACAGAATACATAATGCAGATGCACAGAGATATACAGGAAATAAAAAACTCCACTGAAAGTTGTAAAAACCGCCTTAATGAAAGTGAAGATAGAATTTCAGACCTTGAAGACATGATTGCAGCTAGTGAACAGGAAAGGAAAGATCTTTTGAAAATAACAAGGAATCAGGAAACAACAATTCAACAACTGCAAGACGATGCAAAGAAGAATAACATAAGAATGATAGGGATTAACGAAAGAGAGGGAGACAACATAAAGGATGTCAAGCGGATATTTAGAGAAGTAATAGCTGAAAATTTCCCAAGCATGAGATCAGAAACTGACATCAAGATCAGTGAAGCATATAGAACTCCAAACACTCATAACCAAAATAAAACTACACCCAGACATATAATAATCACCATCCCAGAAATCCAACACAAGAATAGATTACTAAAAGCTGTCAGAGAGAAAAGACAGATCACTTATAAAGGAAAACCTATCAGAATCACAGCAGACTTCTCAGCACAAATGATAAAGTCAAGAAGAGCATGGAGTGAAATATTCCAGATCCTAAAGCAAAATGATTTCCAACCAAGACTGATATATCCTGAAAAACTATCATTCAAAATAGATGGTGCAATACGATACTTCCATGACAAAGAACAGCTGAAGAACTTCATGAACACCAAACTGACCCTGCAAAAAATATTGAAAGACAGTTTAGATACA